GACACAATGGATGGATGTATGGATTGTGATAAGTTGTATGAGCCCCCAATAAAATGATTTTTAAGAAACTATTAAAACAAAACAACACAAAAAGTAGTTTGCATTTTTATGGTAGAGACTTTGGGAGAAGGATTAAGGCAGTATTTCAGTCTGTAACAGACTGTCCGATATACCCACTGAGCCAAATTGTTTAGTAATTTTTTTTGTTTAATAATTTTAAGAAGCAAAACTTTAATAATATATTTTACTTGGCTCAATATATATAAAATATTATATTATAATCAATATAAAAATAAATGAGTTATTATTTCACAGAAATTTTTTACTGTCTTTAAAACCTGATGAATATTGTATACTTATAGCAAATTTCAATTTAAGTGCTCAATGGACATATATTACTACTAAACAGTACAGGCTTAATAAAATACATTTGCTACTTCAAAGCATTTGAACAAGAGTATATCATGATAAAAAGTAACTCTAGAAAATGGATGATGGCATGGCTCTTCAAGCACCTCATCTAACTGGAGGGATTGTAGAGACCATTGTTACTGACTCATACACTGACAAATGTCCACTAGAAATTAATAAAAGAAATCTTGCTGTATCTCTTTAGATAACTATAAGCTATAAAATAACTGGCTGAATAAAACAAAAATATTTTGAGCTGGAATTTGTTTTTTTTTTAATCATTGAGATAACTAGTCTTTCTTATAATCGTTTTCTCTGTAAATCAAATATTCATCGTTCCTTCAGCTTTTCCTAATATGTAATGCTTTCCTAATATTTAATTCCAGATATATCAACATTCCAGTCAGTCCGTTTAAAACTAGTTGCTGTTGTCTTGTGTCCAACGCATGGTAGCCCGTGCATGACAGAGTAGGACTGTGCTCCAGACGATTTTCTATGGCTGAGTTTTTTGGAAACAGATCACCAAGCTTCTCTTCTGAGGCACACCTGGGGCTCTCAAAGTTCTAATCTTCCATTAGGAGCTGAGCATATTAACCCTATGCACAACACAGGGACTCCCTGGTCAGCTTACAGAATATAACCTCGTTTTTAATATCTTTTATAAAATCTGGAATTAATGAGAATTAGTGAGGACTTATATTCAAGCTTTTACTATGAAGAGAATAATCCCATTTATTATCAAATATCTGTAATCTTGCATTTTCAAATTAATATACTTTACTTGGCCCAATATATGTAAAATATTATCATAACCAATATTATTAGCACATGAACAATCTTGAGTCTGGCTGCAGGGTACTTCAAAAAGGAAAATTCACAATAGCAGAGTATGGTGACAAAATAGTGTTGCTTCTATCTTGTAAAGTAGTTTGGAAAAGTATGTGTTCAAAAGTCAAAACAACATAGCTTACTTGTATATCCACAATGTAGTCATCTTTTAACTTATGTTCTTCTTGAGGAATAGGTAAATCTGAACCCACTTTTTCTGATAAATCAACATTAACAGGCCCCTCTCTTTCATCCTATAGTGCAACAAAGAAAGGAGACTAACTGAAAAAAAAAATAGCTTCATAAAATCGTCCTAAAGCAATATTGAAAACCATCTCCTTTTACAAAATAAAAACATTAATTAGCATGCATTTGACTGTAATTACTTTTACTTATTTGTATGTTTGTTTTCTATCTCTACGCACGGCCCTCCCTCTCCTCCTCTCACACTCTGTCCTCGAGTTAATGCCAACCCATAGTGACCCTATGGGACAGGGTAGAACTGCTCCGTGACTTTCTGAGTTTGTAACTCTTCAAGGGAGGATAAAGGCCCAGCATTCTCCCTCAGAGCAGCTAGTAGTTTCAAACGGTGGTCTCTGCCGATCCAAGCTCAACTCATGCTCTCCTCGCATCCCCTCCTAGCTACTGAAATTGAAATGTATGCATGGACTAAAAAATCTCATTTGATTTTTCAATAACCCCTGAACTTTTTATCACCCAAAATTGTGGGTTAGGTACAAAGTAAAATTTCAGTAATTATCTGATGAATGCCCATATAGTATTTCTCTTACTCTCTCTTTTGGCACTTACTCATTTTTAAATTAGCAACTCAGTTCTCTATGTCTTTAAAGAGTCTCTTTGGATAAAAGTTACAAAAGACAAGGTTCATATTCATCTTGGTGTATATGAGCCTCTCTAACATACACTAAATTCGAAGAGTATGCACTCCTATGTATTCCTCTATAATAAAAAGTGCTTAACTGTAACATTCTTCAAATTTCTTATAGATGACATTAGATCTAAGTCTTATAAACTGTGGGTAAAAGTACAGTAAAATAATAGTCTTTTTGCAGAAATAGGCACCAACAGTTTTCAAAATTTGAAATGTTCCATTCCAGAATTATACCCTAACATAACTAAAATATTTAAATAATCTACTCCTAGGAATTTATCATGTCCACATACAACCACTCCCCCAAAGCAAGCACTTAAAAGTAATGTAAATATGTGCTGATACACATCCATAAAGATAGTATTCCTATAATGCAAGAGTTTGTCAGTATAGAAATGGTTAATAAATTTTAATACATCTATATAATGGAATAAAAAGGCAGTCATTAAGAAGGATATAAAGACATGCAAAGGTGTCCATGAGACATCAGATACCTACCTTTATTCATTTAAAATAATATTGACTTAGCAAGCAGTTATTTTTAGACTGTTCCATTTCCCCATCTCATTATATAAAACAAGACATGCAGGTATAGACCGTAGACTCTCTCAGTAATCCTAGTTTCCCATTGTTTTTCATTTATAAAAATGAGATTTTTTTTTTTTTAGAAATGCTTTATTTAAGACATTAAAAAGGGAGCCATTAGCTTTCAGTTCTCTAAATAGGCACCGTTTCTCACCCATCTGTAGTATGCAGGATGTTACAACATTCCTAATATGAGCAACAGTAATAAAGAAGATGGGGCGCTTCAAAAGGTGCTTGGAAAAAAGGAACTAAAAGACAATGGACGTTTATTAAACTTTTTTTTTTTTAACCTCATACGTAAACTACCTCAGATTTATTTGAATTAAATAATTACCCAAATAAATCCTCAGATTACAGCAAGGAAAGTTACAAATCTCCCACCAAACTTTATGGAATAATATTTACATACCCCACTTTCCCCCCCCAAAATAAATACAACTTTACTATGTAGCAGAATTATATACATAAAAGATTAAGTTTTACTGTTTTTGGTGTGTCTGTAAGGGAGCTTTAAAAAGTGTGTGGAAAAACAGAATTGGAAGAAAGGAATCTTTCCAAGAATTTTTAAAGACTCCTCTGAGTTTTACAAATCATTAGTGTATGATTTAACATTCTCGCAATCATAAAACTGCATCATCATACTGTATTCTAGTTATTTTTCATTCATCATATTAATATTTTATAATTGTAACCAACTTCACAAATAGTGGATTGACAAGTGTTGAATACATTTATTTTATTCTACTTATTAAAACTATAGATATGTTCTACAAACTGCATTCAAAATTTTTTGCCAACTGAACCTTTTTGAATGTTGATGTCATTCTTGAAAGTTGATAAAACTTTCAGTTTTTTTGTGACAAGAGTTCATTTTTCATTGTTTGCCTGCTCTTATTAGGAAGTAAATTTTATAAGTCTGAGCACAAGTCATTACCAAGCAAAGAAATTTAATACAAAAGCTTATTAAATATATAATTCCAGTGAAGAGAGCCTCCCAAGCTTTAAAAAGCACTGAAATGATAAGGTAAAATGTGATAACTTGTGGCTGAGCTTGACTTGTTATTATGCAATAGTTATTTCAATATCATAGTGACCTTATAGGACAGGGTAGAACTGCCCCTGTAGGTTTCCATGACTGTAAATCTTTTTTTGGCATAATACTTTTGAAATTACATTTATTCAGTGTTTTGTGTTTTTGACATCTGACACACAACTTATACTCTCAACTTTATCTAAAATACCTTTTTCTGGAATTGCACATCTTCATTTTCTAGCGCACAATTGTCATCTTGAGTGTAGTATGATGAAGCAGAAGAACTCTCTTTACAACACACATGCCAACTGGGAAGCCTAAAATCACCCATCACCAAAAAAAAAAAAAGAATGAAAAATTTAAGTCAGCATCTTTCCTACTAAGGGCTAAGAATGAAGCAATAAGCAAGCTGGTTCTTATTGTAATCCCTTGGGAATTAAACAGCTGAATGTACACAGCCCAAGAGTGTTTTATTTCATGCCCTAAGGAAAACATAAGCAGTGGTAGCCTTCCAAGTAAGATATAATGAATTTTATGAAGGCACAACAAAAGCTTTCACAGAAACAATATCTGATCATCATAGAAGGAATAGAGAAAATTGTCAGAGTTCATCTCTTCAAAAAGCATCACATACCAATAACATATTAAATGTCACCAAGTTTAAACACAGCTAACTAAACTGTTTCAAGGAAAAGAACTAATGCTTCCAAATGCTTCTCAAACTGTACATAGCAAAGATATAAAAAACTAAGTAGCACAGACGCAAACGAAAACTTCAGATCAGTAGTACTTATGAAATCAGATGCACGGGTACAAGAGAAAAGAACTCTAGGTACATATCGAGGGATAATAACACCACTGCTGTGGTCAAGTAAAGTTTTGTGCTGATATTCAAAAGTGGTTCAATATATTTGTAGATCCATGATTATCTCCACAATCATGAAAGGTATGTGATAAATTAATACATCCATCAAGATTTTAAAATAAATAATACAAATAGCTATAAGTAGTTTTGTTTTGCTTTTAACAGCGTAACACTTATCCTGGAGCCCTGCTGATATAGTGATTCAGCATTAGGCTGCTAACTGCAAGGTCAGCAGTTCGAAATCACCAGCTGCCTCGCTGGCAAAAGAGGGGGCTTTTTACTACTGTCAAGAGTTCCAGTCTCAGCAATCCAAGGGACCATTATACCCTGTCCTAAGGGGCCACCATGAGTTGTCACTGCGTCAATGGAGGTGAGTGTGAGAGGGTTTTTTGGCATAATGTTTATCAAAGAAACCTAAAAGGAACTTTATTTATATCTGAAACAAAACAAGAAGAATCATTATCACTAGAACATAAAGGAAATACAAACATGGGGAAAGAGTAAAATTATCAAAAGATTACTATTAAAAATTTTTCTAAGTAGCTGGATCTAAAATTAAGAGATAAAGATCCATATACTTTCCATACTCAAACCAGTTATTGGATGAAGGAACTCCCCATTTACGATAGAAATAAAATAAATGGTAAAATTTTGTTAAGGAATAGTTCTGTTAAGAACTACTTGTGATTGCCAATATTTGACATTCATTTATGTAAACATCACTTCATTCATTCAAATGTACACGAAAGGAAGAAATGAAAACCACATACTAAGGAGGTTAGAAGAGATGAGTAACTGGAAAGAGAAAGCGTAGGACAAAGAGCAGTGCACAAAGAAAAGGTGGCAACCTGTTTAGACTGGCAGGAATCATAAATTCCAGAAGAGGCTTCTTCAGGAAGATGAAACTTAAAAGGATACATAATGAGTCTTTGGAAAGTCTCCCAAATAAATTTCCAAAACTGGCAAAGAATTTAGAATTAAATAAGGAAATCAAATATTAATTCAAAGAAAAATAGCTAAGTGGAAAAGGAATACCTTTTAAGGTATTCTTCTGCTATAAATATATTTACATAGTTATAAATATTGAATCCAGCCCAAATTATGACAGAACTACATTAGTGCATATTAGAATTTGATCTATAGTACAGTCAAAAGTGATATTAAATGCCACAAATTATATTAAAGCAACTATTTTAGACAAAAAATTAATAAGCTAAAAAGATTAAATGGATTTCCTTGAAAACAAATAAGTGGGAAAATAGGAAGGAAGAAACTATGCAGGCTTTTTTTCATAATAAATCTCTTAGAACGACAGACTTTCAAAACTCTGCACATCTAAGAACAGTTGATCTTCTTGAAGTTTACTCAACGGAAAAGAAACAATGTCTTTAACATATGGTGTGGGCAAAAATGGATATACAAATACAGAAAGATGAAACAAGAGCCATACCTCACACCGTGTATAAAAATTAACTCAAAATGGGTCAAAGGCCTAAACAGTAAACCTAAAACTATAAAGCTGTAGAAGATTGCATTGGGGACAAAACTAAGGGACCTAATTTTCAGCATAAATCATCTACAAAACAAAACTAAAAATGCACCAACAACACAAGGCATGTTAGATTAATGAGGACCTCATAAAAATTAAATACAAGTATAATTAAATAAAGTTTCAAGAGATTTTACCAAGAGTACAAAATGAACCTCAAGATTGGGGAACACAATTTTGGCAACATCATAGCTAATCTCTAAATGCATACAAAACTTCAACAACTCAACAACAAAAAGAGACAAATTAAAAATTAAACTAAATGGGAAACAGACATGAACAGACACTTCACCAAAGAGGGCATTTAGGCAGTCAACAAGTACAGAAAAAGATGGTCATGATCGTCAGGATTTCAACTGCCATCAAATCAGTTGACTCGGTGAGCTACAGGGCACAGTAGAGCTGCTCCTTACAGTCTCTAACTTGTAATTTTTTTTTTTAATCCAAGTGATTTTTATGAGGCAAGGGGAAGTTTCGGGTAGAACTGTCCCAAAAAGTACATTTCCGGAAAGCATACAAGACTGCACGGGAACTGCTCTAACCTGTAAATCTTCATGGAGCAGAGAGCATTGTGGTTAGCAGCCCAAGGGTTAACCCACTGCACCAACAAACTACAAAAACTGGAAGAAAGCATCAGGGTCAAGACTAGAGGACCTCGTTCTCAGCATAAATAGTCTATAAAACACAACAAAAAGTGCATGAACAACAGAAGGAAAGTTAGATTAACCAATTTTACCCCTGCAAAAATGAAAGTGATCCAAATAACAAAATGCAACGAATGCTAGTGAGGTTGTGGAGCAATTAGAATTCTTACATGGGACTGGTGGATTATAAAATAGTACAATCGCTATGAAAAATGGCATGCTACTTCCTCAAAAAAATTAGAAACAGAAATACCTTAAGCAATCCCACTCCTACATATATAACCAAGAAATATGAGGGTGCCTCAAAAAAAGTTTGTGAAAAATAGAATTAAAGAGCAATTGTTCCATGAACTTTTGAATCATCTTCATTTCTATTTTGGTATACATCCAAGAGCAGTGACACAAACAGCCATATGCACACCTATGTTTACTGCATCATTCACAATGGCAAAAAGATGGAGCCAACCTACGTACCCATCTAAGGATGAATGGCCAACCTGTGGTACATACAAACAACAGAATAACGAGGAGCTTGTGAAACATTAACATGGATGAGGAATAGTATGCTGGAGATTATAATGCTGAATAAAATAAGTCAATCACAAGAGAGCAAATATTGGATAGAATATGTTCTATTGTAAAAAGTCAAGAATAGGCCTATACACAGAAAGCAATGTTCTTTGATGTATACGAAGGATGGTAGAAGGAGGAGGATAAATCGCTTTCTAGATAGAACACACTTGTTATTTTTGATGATGGAAAAGGTATTACCAAATATGGGGAAAATCTGCACATAGGGTGGTTTTACCAAACCCCAAACCAAACTCACTGCCACTGAGTCAAACCTGGAGGACTGAGTAGAACTGTCCCTGTCAGTCTCTGAGACTGTAATTTTTTATGGGAGTAGAAAGTTATTTTTTTCCCCCAAGGAGTGAGCAGCTGATGGTTTCAAACTTCAGATCTTGAGATCAAGCAGCTCAACAAGTAACTAATAGTCTACCTGAGCTCCTTTGTATGGGTACACAGATGTCATAAAATGCACATAAAGTGTATATATTTTTTTACTGTCATCAAGTCAATTCTGATTCATAGCGACCCTATAGGGCAGATTAAACTGCCCCTGTGAGTTTCTGAGACTAATTCTTTCCAGGCATGGAAAGCCTTGTCTTTCTCCCACAGACCTGGGTAGTGGTTTGGAGCTGCTGACCTGGCAAGTAGCAGCCCACTGAGTAACCACTACGCCACCAGGGCTCTCCATTACACCTCCAGATTCCCCATATTTTGTCCCGTTGTACATAATGTTGCTGTAAGTCAGAATTGACTCAATAGCATCTATCTAAAAATAGTAAAAAAAAATTTAAACCACCAAAATAAAATAACCCCAAATCCACTTCAACTACAAAAATGAGTTGATACCAATGAGGTCCTTAATTAAAAAAAAAATTTTAGACCCCAGAAGGATCAAATATACACTCCAGTTAAGAAGCAGGATAGCTGTTCCATGAGGGTCCCACTGAGTCTACTCCAATTCATAGTGACTATGTACAGCAGATGAAACAATGCCTGGTCCTACACCATCCTTGCTATGTGTGAGTCCATTGTTGCACCCACTGTGCCAAGTCATCTCATTTAGGGCCTTCCTCTTTTTCTCACTGACCTTCTACTTTACCAAGCCTGATATCCTTTTCCAGGGACTGGTCTGTTTCTAATAATATATCCAAAGGATGTGAGATGAAATCTTGCTACCCTTGCTTCTAAAGAGCATTCTGGCTATACTTCTTGTATACAAGACAAATGTGTTGATTGTTTTGGTAGTCCACTTTCAATATTCTTTGCCAACACCGTAATTTAAATTCATCAATTCTTCTTTGAAAGTCTTCCTTATTTAATGTCCAACTTTCACATTCATATGAGGCAACTGAAAATACCATGGCTTGGGACAGGTGCGCCACAGACTTCGTTTTTTAACACTTTAAAGGGGTCTTGTGTAGATTTACTCAATGCATTGCATCATTTGATCTCTGGACTGCTTCCTTGGGTATTGATTGTGGATACAAGCAAGATGAACTCCTTGACAATGTCAACCTTTTCTGTTTATTATGTTATTTATGGGTTCAGATGTGAGGATTTTGGCTTTCCTTTTATTAATCCATAATGAAAGTTGGAATCTTTCATCTTCATCAGTAAGTGCTTCAAGTCCTCCTCACGTTCAGCAAGTTAAGTTGTGCCATCTGCCTAACACAGGCTGTTAATAAGCCT